AGCACTGGCAGTACTGTAGCTGCGATGTAAACCTCGTATTTTTCTCAGGACAGCATGTTTTTTTTCCCTTCCCTTCTTGATTTCCCTTCCCTCCCGAATGTAAATTTCACTCGTAAAATAGTTACTGAGCACCTCCTGGTGCATGTACAGAGAGGCATTAGTTAGGGTCTCAGGGTAGATAGCTTGAGCATAAGGATGACGGGAGCTGTCACAGGGCTCTGGGTGCCAGAGCCACTTCCCCTATGAAACCTACTCACTCCCATCTAATAAGGCAATTTTGGAACCTGCCTCTTCTTGTCAGGCCATTTTCTTAGCCAGCAAATGCCACCAGCCCAGGAGCCCAAGTCTGAAATTAATGCCGCCACATGCTAGAGATGAAAGCATTACAGACCCCTTTCAGGTTTCCGACCGGCAGATCTTTGGGTTGAGGGAAGAAAAGGATCCTTGATTCCCCAGAATTATAAACACTTTAAGTCATGCTGCTTGCTCTGACATGTGAGATGTTTATGTTAGATGTATTAATCTGTTGAGAGGGTCGATAAAGCCAACTTAAAATTTGTTTCAGTAATAGCCAGTGTTATAGGCAAGCCTGGGCTGATTTTTTTTTTTTTTTTAAGTATTAGAGCATTTTGGTTTGGAATCCATTAAGCTGCCTCTTGGACCTAGAAGTAGGAAATTCACTGGAGCAATGTGCACTGGCAAAATCTGTCCAAATCTGTGTTGAGAAATACCATAATGATAATAATTTTTATACCATAACTTCTTGGGAGCAACATAGGTTGCAAAGCATTTTCACTTTCAGCATTTACTTAGTCTTTTGATCCCCATAATGGCCCTAAAATGGGATAGGTCAGGCATTATTTCTGTCTGGTTGAGACATGGGTCTGGAAGTCAGCCTGCTCCTGAAATCACATGGCAAATATCCAATAAAAATAAGTATCTGGTATCCTTGCTATGTTCACAACCTGAATTGAACCGTTTTTCTTGGACCCATTCTGTATACCTCTTTCCCGTCCATTTTGGGTATTCTCAGGAATCTGACCCCTTTCCTGGTTCATACCTTCATCCCTCAGACTTGAGACCTGAGTCTGCCCTTCTGATCTGCCCTCTAATTCCTCTGTGTGTGTGTGTGTGTGTGTGTGTTAGTCACTCAGCTGTGTCCGACTCTTTGTCACCCCATGGACTGTAGCCCACTAGGCTCCTCTGTCCATGGAATTCTCCAGGCAAGAACACTGGAGTGGGTTGCCATTCCCTTCTCCAAGGGATCTTCCCAACGCAGGGATCGGACCTGGGTCTCTTGCACTGCAGGCAGATTCTGAGCCACCAGGAAGCCCTCCTCCAATTTCTACTAACTTCAATTACAACTTTGGTCTGTTTCTTTGATCAGCTGACTCGCAGCTGCTGCCAGGTAACACCTTTCATGCCCAAACAACACCTTTGCAATTACTTGTACTACTGCTTGAAATGCTAATACTAATGTTACTTGAAATAATAATAACAGCAATAGCAATAGCTGTCATTTGAGTACCTATGATGAGTCAGATATTGTTTTCCATATTTTATCTTACTGAAAATTTGAACACCAGACTATCCCTATGAAAAAGATACAGCTTTAGTCCCTAACATACAGATAAGTTACAAAGAATTTAGGTGAACACAATCAGTGTAGTTGAAAGAACACGGATATGTGTTCTGGCTCTGTTAAGTTCTCACTGTGTGATTTTGGACTAGTTACCTACTCTCTCTGTGCCTTGGTTTAATCATCTGTAAAAAACAGGACTGATAATCTCTACCATCTGAAGCTGCTGTGAAGATTAAGTGGGAAAGAGCCTGTTGGATCTCAGAAAAGTGACTTTTACTTTTTTCTTTTAGGGCTTTTATCTTCTGCTTCTGAATATAGCTATGAAGTAGATACTTTGGAATTCCAAATGCTATTTTCTGAAAAGCGATGGTACTAACTTTTCCTTTTTAATAAACCATCAAATATGGCTGTATAATTTCATCAAGGAAGACAGGGAGAGGGGAAGGGGATCCTTGCTGGTAGAAGTGTAGGAAATGCTTTTCAATTTCAGGGCTGGTTGAGAGTAATGTCTGCAGTGATGTGTAAGCATTCAGTCTGCGATTTGAGGGAGTGACCTTGAGAACGAATCGAGGGCACCAACTTGCTCTGACAAAGAAACCCCTGTATTGGCTAAATAATGTATAAGGGATTTCCATTGGGCAACTGGGGGAAAACTGAATTATTTAATGTATTTCCATTTCCATGAGTTAATCAAGATAATTGCTGTTTTCCTGGATCTTTGTCTTTCTACTTCTGTAATTAACAAGGTGCCTGTCTGGAGAAGGGAATTTAGAAAGTGAACTTTGTACACACATTTTTTTGCTGCAAACTGTATTCAAAAATCTATGATAGCTCCCTTTGTTTGGGACTCTAGGATTGTGAAGAATCTGATGCTTTATCAAGGTTGAGAAAAACTTAGGGTTCAAGGATTCAAGTTCATTTGGGATTAACAAACTCTGCACAAGGCAGCAGGGCAGGGCTGCAGAAGCATGAGCTCTGGTATCAGACAGACGTGGGCTGTGATCCCTGTTCTGTGAGGTCTCACTAGACAACGATGAACAAATGAGCCTCTCTGAGCCTCAGTGTCTGTTTCTTCCAGAGATGATTCGCGGCCGGAATGCAGTAATACAGTTCCTTGCCCATCAGTGATGGGCAGCGAGGCTAGTTCTCTCCCTGTCTCCCATGTACTTGTCTAATATTTGACAGTCTCAGCTGTGTGGAACATGGCTAAGACCTCAAAAAGAAGCTAAAAAAGGATCTAAGTAGAAATAGATGTTACAAGTCTATTCATTAAAATACCTCATAGAGGAACACCCTGGAGATATATATACATATTTAATTTTGGCGAGGATTATAACAAGCTGAATGTCTGGTTCTCTGACTATACCATTTAAGAACCCCTACCCTGGATGAAGAAAAGGGAAGTGAGCTACTGAAGTCGGCCACCACGACTGAAACAATGATATGATAGCACCACGTGGAGGGAGGAGGTGGTAAAACTAAGGATTAGGCACAGGAGCTAAGGAAGGAACTGTTTAGAATCACTTCAGGCAGGAATGGACGGATCTATAGCTGCATTTCCCGGGAACTAGCTTCATTTCGAGGTAGGAGACAGATGGGCCCCCGGGCTAGACACCTGCTATTTGTTGAGTGGAGTAAAATTCAAGCTTTGTTCTCACCCAGACACTCCAAGGACAAAGCTAGTGGCAAAAGCTGAGCTCTGCTAAAGCAAAGCAGTAAGAGGCCCACTCCTGAGGTGCCCAAGCGTAGGGAGGCTCCTTGGGGGTCAAAAGGGAGGGAACGGAGGGGACCCCGCCCTGTAAGTGTGGATATACACCCACAGGCCTCTGTGGTGGGATCCACCTTAGTGAAAAGTTGTGCAGGCATCCTGGGGGGGCTCTCCTAAGACTAGTCAGGGGTGAAGAAAGAAACTAGACAATCAGTCAAAAGTAAACAAAAACCCGGAAGGACGACCCTAGATTAAGTCATTTAAATCACCTTCTTACTGTGTTCCTCCTCATTCAGGATGCCCACACTTGTCTCTGAGTGCGTCTCTCTGACTTATTGCGTTCCTCTTCATTACAGAGGATGACCATACCCTTTCCGGCTCGGTGTGTACCTCTGCTTCTGAGTTAGATAAACAAACTATTTTCCTGTGTGCTCTCCTAGACATTATGCTGTGTCTCTAATAACAAAACTTTCTGTTTTTTATAGTTTTTGCCTCCTTGAAACATACTTGCTTTCAAACTGGGGCAAGAGTCAGGGCCACTTTACTTCTAGCCTCTAGTCCCTGGTTTTCTAGTGACTAGGATTCCTGGTTTTCATCCAGGTTACCCAGGATCAATCCCAGGGCAGGGAGCTGAGATCTTTCTTCAGGACCAGACACTGCTGTTTTTCTGAGATCAATATGGCAGCATCAAATGCCTTGTTTCTTATTAGTGACCTTGACTCATAAAAGAAAGATTTATGCCTGTAAAATGAGAAGGGAGGCATCTAATGCACTTCATAAATTCCATCCAAAATGTTAAAAGTGAAAGAAAAAGTTTTGAATCATAAAGATGTGGACTTGTGAAGTGAGTCAGAAAAAGAAAGATAAATACCGTATTCTAACACATATATATGGAATCTAGAAAAATGGTACTGAAGAATTTAATTACAGGGCAGCAATGGAGAAACAAACATAGAGAACAGACTTATGGACATGGGGAGAGGGGAGGAGAGGGTGAGATGTATGGAAAGAGTAACATGGAAACTTACATTACCATATGCAAAATAGAGAGCCAACAGGAATTTGCTGTTTGTCTCAGGAAACTCAAACAGGGGCTCTGAATCAACCTAGAGGGGTGGAATGGGAGGGAGATGGGAGGGAGGTTCAAAACGGAGGGAATATATGTATACTTATGGCTGATTCATGTTGAGGTTTGACAGAAAACATCAAAATTCTGTGAAGCAATTATCCTTCAATAAAAAAGAAACTAATTAAAAAAAAAGATGTGGACTTGGATTACGTGGACATTTCTTTCACACAGAACTGTTCCTTCTCCCATTGCCACATTTCTGGATAGTGGTCATGTGGCGATGCTGACACCTAACCAAGTATTTTCCATCTATGTCACCTCCTTGCAGTGAGTCCATGGAGGATGGTTTCCGTTTTACAGAGGTGGAAGCTGAGGCCTAGGGAGATTAAGTCCACAGGGAAAGCTGGATTCAAGCCCAGCTTCTCTGACTTCAAAGCTCACGCCTTTTCCAACACACCATGGTCCTTCCTAGGAGTAATCATCTGGGTTATTAACATGCAGAACATATAATAGGTCATGGTTTGCATCTCAAGTGAATTAAAATAAAAAAAATCCATAAATGAACACTTCATCAGTTTACCTCTAATTCTACAATGCACCCATGAAACAAAATCACCAAATGGCCTGGTCTTGATACTTACTCATAAAATGTTGTCCACCCATTTTCATTGCTCTTGGTGGCCAGCAGGCCAGAGTTGCCGTGGTATGTCATCATGGCCAGCTCGTGTCCTTGTGTGGTTACACTCTTGAGCGCGCTGTTGGTGCCCATGGTCACCCAGTACACCTGGCCATCCGGGACCGCCAGCCAGAGAGGCATCCCTGTGGAGTCTCTGCGGACGTTGACCACGTTGCCGTTGTTGTCTGTGATGAGTGTGACATCACCATCCCCGGTGTAGGTGAAGTTGTACAGGTAATCTCCCGTGGGTAGGCTCTGGGTGTACAGATGCTTGCCACTGGTATCAAACAGGTAGAGCTCCTGGTCAATCGGGGAGGACAGCTCATACATGTTCTGGGTGTTGAGGAAAGGCTTGTTCTTCCTGATAAACCGGATTCGGATATTCCCAAGGTCAGCCACGTAAAGCTCCCCGTCAGCACACACAGCCAAGGAAGACGGGATATTCAGCTTCGCATCTTTGGCATAACCATCATCTCCAGAGAAACAGTCACAGTTGGCATCATTTTTACAGTCACAGCCACTGGGAGCCCCGGCAACCAGTGAGATCTCTCCGCTGGTGGTGACCTGCCTGACGCGGTTGATCTTCTTCTCGTCGGTCTCAGCGATGTACAGGACCCCATTGTGAGAGACGGCCAAGGCGGTGGCCGACTCCAGGGTTGCATGCACGGCCACCTTGCTCAGCAGGAAGTGGTCCATGCCGGGCACCTGGCAGTGCATGGGCCTCCCGGCGACGACGCGCACCTGGTGGTTCTCAGAGATCTGCAAGACCACGTTGTTGTCCAGGACATAGAGCGAGTTGTCCATCGGGCTGATGGCTAAGTCTGTGGGCCACTCCAGGCGAACCTGAGAATGGAAACACGGACACTCAGATGCCTGGCGAGGGGCCCGCCACTGATCGCCCCACACCCCGTGGAGCCCTGGGTCGTGTAGAGGGGATCGAGCGCCAGCACAGGCAGTCCTGCCTGCCCCTCACAGCAGCCTGTCATCATCCGTGGACATCGGCCCCCGATCAGACAGAAACCACACAAGAGCCCCACCAAGACATCTGATGGTCTACGTCAGACTGACGAAACACAAAGAAGGGGACAGCAAAAAAACAGATGAAAGGAACAGGTGAGAGGAGAGACTGAGAGTCGGACAAGCCTGGATTCAGATCCCAGTCCCCCTGCTTACAACCTTGGGCAAGTTACTTTGCCTCTTTGAGCCTCAATATTCACATTTGTGAGATAAGTAATGATCATAGTACCAAGGGTCTGACCCTCTGGAGTGCTTAAAGAATGGCAGCTAATGGTATGGAGTTGGGAGGGGACGGTAGATGGAGTCTGGAGGCTGAAGGAGAAGTTGTTTAGAGGCTTAAGAAACATCTTACATGAACTGCTGCTAAATGCATGAAAAAGGATTTCTCAGTTCTTTGAGTTCATGGAGTAACACATGGCTAGGGGCTGGGGATGGAAAGTGAAAGCAACCCTGGCCCCCGTCTGACATAGGTGCAGACCTGTGATTCTCAAATCTGGCTACATAGGAAGGACCCGTGGTGATTTAACAAAGTATTGATGCTAAAATTCCACCTCTGATCAATTAAATTAAATCAATTAAATTAGATCCCTGGGTATGGGGCTCTGGCAAAGGCACAAAAGCATCCTGGATGATCCTAATATGTGCCTGGGAACCAAAACTGGATAACTTCAAGGGTGATCTCTGGCCTGAGAGCGCTGGCATTGCCTGAGAGCTGGTCAGTATAGCAGAATGGCAGGCCCCATCCCAAACCTACTGAATCTGAGCTGGCATTTCAACAAAATCCCTTGGAGGCGCCTGCACACGCATACTGAAGTTGGTGATACCTTGCTTTGGATGATGGTTTCTAGCACCTCAGAGAACAAGTCCACCTGGGAGAGATGAACAATGTCAGCTATGGGAATGGAGGGTTCAGAGGTCCTGGGCCCCAGGTCTGCGCCTCCTCTGAGCCAGGCTGGGATGCCAGCAGGGATCCCAGGGGGCTGGCCTGCAGGTGGGCACACAGGGGACTGTGGCCTGGCAGGTCTAAGGTGAGGATGCTGTTTCTTGCCTTGGTGGCCTTGGAGGTTGGGATGTTGAGTATCTCGCCCTGGGAGGTGCTGGCACTAAAGGAAGCCCTTTGCCAAATGTGTTCCCCAAGAGGTCCAGCCACAATGCATGTAGGCTGACAGCTGCTGCCTGCAGTTGCCTTATCCACCCCACTGCTGGGGACTCTTTGCCTTAGGATCCTGAGCCCCTGACAAGTCCTTGACATTCTGTCCAACTTGGGGTTTATTTAAATAAATGTTATACCTTTCAGTGAGCCATTTCTCTTCCAGAAATTTACTCTTGTACACCCATGACTACAGAGGTGCTTATCACAGCCATTTTTAATAATGCTGAAAGGCTGGAACTAACACAGATGCCCAATGACAGAGACCTGGCTGAAGAAATTATAGTCCATTTTGTTCACCCACAGGTTAGTGCACTTGGTGCAGCAGTTAAAAGTGATGTTACAGATGGATATTTAATGACATGGGAAAATGTTTGCTACGTATTAAGTGGAAAGAACAGTTTGCAGAACAGTAAGCACAGTGTGATCCCAACTGGGAAAGACAGACAACAATAAAGCAGATAGATGATGCATATAAGCAGGGGTTAAAAGCTCCAGCGTTATATACCGAAATGTTAACCCATGTTGGGAGGAGAGGTAATTTTAACTTTCTTCTTTGTCATTTTAAATTTTTTATATTTCCTGCAATGTGCATGTGGGAGTTGACTAGGGTGGAAAGAAATCCCAGAAGATAATACACCTATGAGACGTGGCCACCTCCATCCAGCCCTTGAGCAGCATATCCGGCCCATCCTCAGCACAGAGCAGGCCCTGCCAGCTTCACTGCTTCGAGGGTCTGCGTGCTCCCTCGTCCCCGGCCTGGGCCCACTCTGCCCCATAGCACAGGGGGCCCCAAGCGACGCCAGCGCCAGCGGCTGGGCTGCCTCCTTTCACACTTCTCAGCACTCCCCGGAGCACCGCATCACAGCTGCCTTCGGCTGCATCAAGAACACAGTTTACTCTAAAGTGACAGGGGAATTTTCAATTTCCTAAAGCCCATTTCTTGTCAACACTGGCTGCTAAATATTTTATGCCCTCTGGCCCTGTGGCGCCTTGGGGACATGCTTGCCGAGACCTTTCTGCCTGTCATTATGATGAAAAGAGGGCTTCTTGATGGGTGGGGAGGGAGGGTGGGAAACGGGGAGCCTGGGAGGGAGAGGGAGAGGAAGGGGGGAGGAGGAAAGGACAAGCCTCTCCTACTCTCTCTTGCACACCCACGTGCACACAGCCACCCAGGAAAGAAGGCGAAAGAAGTGCGCTTGGAGTCACCACGTGTGCGTGACGGTTCTGGACCAAGTACCTAGGCTGCTTTGATTTTACCTCCCTGTTAGGGATGATCACGTTGGAGGCTTCATTTCCCATCGCCAGAACAGAGGAAGGAGACTTTACCATTGCTGAGGTCCCTCCAGCTCGCACTTCTGTCATCCTGAGATGGAATCAAGCTCCTTCCCCTCTCCCCTAGAGCATCCCATGCCTTGAAGCTCCCTGACTTGACTGCCTCATTGCACTTATTTGCAAAAACGGATCATCGAATGGCTGGAAAAATGGCTGACTGGTGAATGGCACAGAGAGAGGGAGGGATTGGGGGTCTGGACACTTTGCTTCTTAGCTCAGTCCGCCAGTGACCACAGGTGTGATCTTCCTCAAGTTACATGAGCGCTTTGAACTTCTTTTCTCATATGTAGACGGTGCTAATAAATCTTATATGAGTAGTCGTGAGGATCAAACGAGACGACGCACAAGGAAATTCTTTGTAAATTACAAAGAGAATGAATACCTACAGCCCATTATTAGCTGCCAGACACTGTGTGGGGCTCTTATGTAATATTTATTACCCTCTTCTACATACGGGGAAAGAAGTTCAAAACGTTTTACATGATATCATGAAAAAAATTTCTGTTCCGCACACCTGAGGGAACCTAGCACAGAGCTCTGCATTTATAATCACATTTTCCTCCACCAAGCCTGTCTCCCCGTCTATAAAACGGGGTATGTAATACCTACCTTGAGGGATTACTGTTGTTGTTCACTTGCTAAGTCGTGTCCGACTCTTTGTGATTCCATGCAGGATTATGGTGACAGCTAACCAAGAAAAGTTGGCACACCCTCCCTGTGTCCCCATTTGTAAGCGTGCCCGCACACAGTACGTTCTCAGGAAGTCATTCTGGACCACGGACAGGGTGATACTGACTGTCTGTGGTGGCTGCAGGCTGCAGAGTTGCGAACGAATGCCGGGTTCTGAAACGGCCTTCCGGACAGGTGGCAGCGTCTCCCATTCCGTCTCTACTCTCTGCCTCCCTCTGTTTTCTCCTCCCACCTGGTCTTCAGTCTGAGCGGGCTCCCTGGTTCTCCCCTTTGCATTCTTGCCTCTGAGCTGTCTCTCATTTCTCTGCCTCACCTCCCTGCTCCACCCAGCACAGTAGAGCAGCTGTGTGATTGTGATGGAGGAAGCTCTGAGAACTAAAGCCAGGCTCCTTCCCATACGCACGTGTGAGAGTTCATGGCTATGTCAGAACGTGTGGTGAAAAGAATCCCGTGCTTCGATTTGGGCGAGGGTGGTGAGGACCAGGGGCAAGGAGATTTCAGTCCAGGATTTCTGAATTTAAGCGTGGATTTTTTCCCCCTCCACAATATGCCAGCTGTCTTTCAAGGCTTTGATCTGGCTGCTTGGCAGCACCTCCAGCTAAAGCTACACAATTTTCCAACATGTGGATTGAAACTTTTCGGCACCCTGTGCTGGCTGGTGGAGGGCCCATTTGGAGAACTGAAGAGACTTGGACATAACATCCTCAGGCTGTGGCCGCTTCCTGACAGGGTAAATCAAGCTTACTCACAGACCGGAGAGGGAAACCCTCGAGCCAGCAAGGGGAAGCCCGCCAAATTGGAAAGACGAATGGCAGAGAACAGATTCCCACTTGGGAGCATAACAATCAGTAGCTGGTGCAGAAGCAAACCACAGCAGCATCGGATGGGGAAGCGACGCGGCTGCGGGACCCCCAGCAGCAGCCCTGAGGTCCAGGGAAGGGGCTTGGTGACACGCTGGGAGCAGAGGTGGGCACGAGCTGGGAAGCCTCCCAGCCTCCGTCACCTGTTGAACGCAGGCAGCAGGTTGGCAGTGAGTGGCAACGGGCCTGTATGCAGGCTCCCCTAGAAGTGAGGGGGTTTACAAAGCCAAGTGTGCCCACTGCTAACACCAACTCGAAATTTAATGCGATTTGAACCTCCTTCTATCTCTGGCTTTGCTAATCTTGACAAGATGGATATTCACTGATTCAGCGCCAGCCAGGTTCTACTAAAGGATTGAGCAATAAAGGACACATCCCTTCTCAAGTTGCTGTAGGACAAACTAGGGACACGCTGACCAGCAGTCAGAACCTTGTGTCTCTCTTGGGTCTATGCTGGGCTCCTGGAGCCCACTTGCTAAGGGTCAAACCCTGGTGTGGTAAGGTAAGTCCTTCCCTAACTGGCTCCAAAGCACACCTCCAGTTCCAACTCCTGCTGCTTCCTTCTAAGAACCATATGCTCAGTGTTCAATCATCCAAAGTTCCTTGAATGTTTCCAGCCCATTAACATCTTTGTACCATTGCACATGCAGTTTCCATCGTGTGAAATGTCTCCTTTCTTCCTGTCACCCAACAAACTCCTATTCAACCTTCCAAAGCTGGTACAAATGTCACCTCCTCTGTGAAAGTAGGACTAGAATTTCTGTTTAGCGATCACCTACAGAGTGCTGAGTGGTGCTCGGAGCCCTGCATACACTGTTTCCATATTCTCAAGGCAATCCTGCCAGGCCAACATCAATTATTTCTATTTTAGAGATATGGAAAGTGAGGCTCAGAGGACCTCAGCAACTTGTCTAAAGTTATACAGCTGGTGAGTGGCAAAGCTGGGATTCAATCAATCCATTAACAAAATAGTCAGCAAACAAGTATTGGGTGTGCTCCTGTGTACCAGGCCCCCTGGTTATAGCACAGGAAAAGATGGACAGAATTCCTGTCCTCATGTAGCTTACAGGAGGAGAACAGCTTACAGGAGCTTACAGGAGCTCACAGCCCAGGAGGAGAACAGACAGCGTTCAGTATCTGTGACTTCACGAGGTTACGGATTTCAATTTACACTATGTGAGGCGCTCCTGCCTTCGAGGGCTATATGGGGCAGATTTCTTCAATCCTCTGGGTCTTCCTGTATCACCCACCTGTCACCTCTGATGGAGACCTTCCAGAGCCCCACACTGTGCTGGACCCATCTGTGTGTCCTTCGTGCTCTTAAGAGGCCCTGCACCAAGACTGTGCTTACAAGCCTTGTGCACTACAAAGACGAACGGCCAGCAGGCGGGCCGGGCGCCCACGAGAGGACAAGCATGCTGACCCAGGGCCCCGGCGGACGGAGCCTCCTCCTTACCTGAGAGATATCCATCACAGAGTCACAACTCAGGGGCCGGGCTGAGCTGAGGTCGTTGGAGCCCAGCAGGGTGGAGATGACCCCGTTCTGATCAATGCGTCTGATCATGGTGCCGTCCACGAAGTAGATCAGCCCCGACTTGTCCACTGTGATGCCTGGGGTGGAGAAGCCCAAGTGGGAAGTTCAGCCTTAGAGGTGGTTACGACCCGCGTACTCATGGAAACGTGCAGGCTGATGGGCACGTCTCCTCCGTGATTTGATTCGATCTTCTCCACGACATTCATCCCCTCTCTGAAGATGAGGAGACAGCTGCCCAGGGGCTTGCAAAACGGGGATCAGCACCCAGGTCTTCAGATTTTCCAGGCCTCTGGTTGTTCTACCTTGCTGCCTCTGGAGATATTTACCTATCATCTCAGTCATCCACAAAATCTGTACTCATAACTGCTGGGAGTCAAGCACTACAGCTAGTAGCAAGGAGGAACATTTTCAATGTCAAAATGGTGGACTATGTAAATTAACCTACTTCTGAAGACCTGAAATTATAAGCATCAAATCCCCTTGATGGCAGTAATTTTTCTTTTCTTCCAGGACAATTATCCCTCAAGCTTTTCTAGTCTATTACTATTTGATGTTATTCTATTCTAGTTTTTAATTTCTTTGGCCATGCCATGTGGCTTGGCTTAGTTCCCTGACCAGGGGTCGAACCAGGCTCCCTGCAGTGGAAGTGTGGAGTCCTAACTACTGGACCTCCAGGGAGTTCACTATTACTATTTTAGTTTCGTTGGTTAGTTTTGAATTATAGAGCCTAAAAAAGAATCCTTTGGATTTGTGTAGGGAATATTGGTGAATTTCATGTCTAAAAAAGGCACAATGAATTATTCAACATTCATTTCCTCCATTTGCTAGACTATCCCACCTGCTGACTTTCTCCAGGGCCACCTGTGTGACCTCGGGCAAGTCACTGGATGTCCTTGCATTTGTTTTCTTAGTTATGAAATGAAAAGATTGTTCTAGATCTGTATTTCTCACTTTTGGATGTGTATGACAATCACCTGGGAGCTAGCTAAAATGCACTATTTCCCCAGGTACCTGGTTCACAAAATCTCAAGTGCAGCCTGAACATCTACCTGTATTTTTGACCAGTGTCCTGGGTGATAATGATGTAAAATGATATAAATCAAAGTTTGAGAAACACTCTAGTAAGTGAGGACTTCTTAACCAGTGATATGGATAAGAATCACCTGAAGAATCTTTAAATACATGTATTTGTACACACTCATCTGCTTGGTCTCACTCCCAGAAATACCATTAATAACTCACAGGGTGGCTGGGACTAGGACCAAGGCTCATGGGTGATACTGACACCGCAGGTCTAGAATCAGAGGAGTCAGACATACCCTATAGCAGTGTGAACAGCTGAGGGGTCCTGGGGCTGAGAGACAGACAGGGTGTGCCCCCGAGGATTGCACGGTCTAGATGAGGGGCACAGGAATGACTTGGACCCAGGGAGTGACAGAAGCCAGGGCAGTTCACAGGGAAATAAAGGAGATTCCGGTCGGTTTCATCTTGTTTTCTCTGGGGGCAGGAACTGAAAGAAGGGGTCAGAAAAAGCTTCACAGAGGTGAGAACGTTGAAAGTTATAGAGCCTCCCAGTTATATATAACCTTTGGGGTAGTCACTGCACTTCCAAGTCCCAGTTTTTTCATGGATAAAATGCGTGTAATAACATCTGACCTGTAATAGTTAGCCCGCAATTATTATAATGACTTAGAATTATGAGAACATGAAACCCACTCTGCTTGCTCTCAAGGGCCCACAGGTCTGTGATCCGTCAGTAGGGTGGGGTGAAGACACCCAAGGGCCTCTGCGTGATGAACACCCACAGGACCTGTGGTTCCTCCGGCCCGCTGCCTTAGGCTGCTCAGGGCTGGACAGTGATTTCACGCGGAGGACCAGCAGCGTTAGAGTGGGGGACGTCCTCCTTCTGTCCCTGCCTAGAATATGAACTCATTTCACTCTTTAAGCACAGGCACTTAAGACAGGCGCTTTCTTGTCTGTGTGGCTGTGCTTGGTCCTTTTCCTCCATCTGCTGTAGGACTGATGAATGCTCCAGGAACAACTGGGTTTCTTGTTTACAGAGTTGGCTGCATAGGCTAATAGAAGTGATGTGTGCCCTGATTAATGACTTCATTTTTTTTTCTCCTTTTGTTGTGCTAAATAGATGGACATCTTTTCTCCTCCCTGTTGCACAGTGTCTGCACATTCTGGCACTCTTGTCATTTCTATCTGGGTTAATTACAGGCTTTGGGGCAATTTCCCTGTCACTACATGTGTGTTTTTTCTCTCAGAAAAAAAACTGTATTAATTTTAAGACAATAGAACACTGCCACCAAACGGGCTCTCACAGACCATTTAGCCCCAGCTGCACATTTACGAAAGGAAAATTGAGGCCCAGAAGAGGAGGTCCCAGAGCCGGGAGCTGCGGAGCAAAACCGTAATGCAGGCTCCCTGAGTGCAAGCCCAGTGTTCTTTCCACTCCAGGCTACTCTCTCAGTATTAGGAAATGGTAATTCAGAAGGAGATTAACCACAGGTGTCACAAAATTTACCCCATGGAGTTACTACCTGATCACTTTAGGTATGTGGTAGAGACAGATTAGGAATGATACATGATATTCTGTACATACAGTATAACAGGAATAGGAATTACCATTTATGAGATGTTTATCATGTGCCTGGTACCACTGTCCTAAGGAAGTATTTACATTCCTCATAACAGTTAATCTGGACTACAACTGCACGGTGTATTTCTCTTTAGAGGGGGAAGATGGGGCTCAGAGAGGTTAAACAACTCACCCAAAGTCACACAGCTATTAGGCGGCAATGGCAGTCGTGCTGGTGGTTTAGTCACTAAGTCGTGTCTGACTCTTTGTGAGCCCATGGACTGTAGCCCTCCAGGCTTTTCTGTACATGGGATTTCCCAGGCAAGAGTACTGGAGTGGGTTGCCATCTCCTTCTCCAGGAGATCTTCCCAACCCAGGAATTAAACCTGCATCCAAGTTGCAGGCAGATTCTTTACAGCTGAGCCACCAGGGGTTCCCATTAGGTAGCACTGTCTGAATTTAAATATAGGTCTGCCTGACTTCACAAGTCTACAGTTCACATTTGAAACCAAGCCCTGAAATCTGGCACTACTTAAGAAAACTATCGCTCATGACATTTTTATAGGACATCATATGAAACATATTAATTTTGACTCTCAGAACAATTCTAGGAGGTTGACACAGAAGATATTATTACTCCTATTTTATTGACAAGGACCCTGTGGCTTAGACACCACAGGTCATTGGCTTTAGGGCCTGCAGCACGGTGAACACGTGCTGATGGATGTCTGTTGACAACAATGGCTTCTCCTCCAAAAAGCCTTCCCAGTCTTCTGGGCACAGGGGACGCCCTTGGCTCTGGACCCTCAATGCACAGTTCTTTCTTCTTGCACCCCAGGGAGCACTTCTGCCCCTCTCCCATCTCAGTGATTTACATTCAAGTCTTATTTTTCTGCTATAATGAACTTATCTATGTACGCACAGTGCACTGCATACTCAGCAAATACTTGCTGAATAAGTGAACGGAAAGTAATTGTGGGTGTGAAGAGGTCTAGTTTTTTGAAGGACTCAAAATTGAAACTGAAAAGTTAACCCATCCTATAGGACATGAACATGTGCAAAGATGATATACCACTACTTTTTTTTTTTAAAATCAAACAATGACATGAAAGGCAGCATATATATTCAACAGGAGGGGACTGATAAATAACGGGACATCCATTTGGTGGAATACTATATAGCCATTAAAATCAAATTCATAGAAGACTCTTTAATGACATGGAGAAATATTTGTGATATATCACTTTAAAAAAAAGTAGGTTACTAAAACAGCTTGTTTAATGTGACTTAATTTGGTTTGTTTCTGGTGAGCATTAGTTACACACAAACACTTAGAAAAAAGGCTAGGGGGAAAGATAGGAAATATTAACTGGGAATATTTCTGGCAGGTTGAATTATGACAGCTTAAACTTTCCTCTGTAGAGTTCTTAGCATTTTCCAACTTTTTTTGCAATGATAAACAGGTTTACCTTTGGGAAATGGAGCTACCCCTGTGAATGTTACTGAGAGAGCTTTGAAAGCAAAGCCTTACCCCTGGGGTTGGTAAGTGTGGCTTCCGTGGCCTTTCCACCATCCCCGCAGCGAGTGTCATCGAAGGGGAGGCACTGGTCACCTGTCCCCGCCACCACCTCAGAGTTCTTGACGAGGTCCTTCACCACCACCGTGGACTTGATCTTGAAGACGCGCCGGCTGGTAGTGTCCGACAGGAAGACGGCCCCACTCATGGGGTCTGCGGTCAGGTAGTACTTGTGTGCTGGGCTGTGACTGGAAAGCAAGGACAGGCCAGCCGGTGAGCACTTTCTTCTTTCCTGACAGGCAGCCAGAGATACACAACCTGAGATTAAGCCCAAAAGGGGACAATGTCCCTCTTCGGGGTGACGGTTCCCCAATTTTTCTGACCTCTGTGGTTGGCCTTTCCTACGAATGCAAGAGCTTCTTGTTGATGACTGTCATGCCCAGCCAACAGTGCGATGCCTGTGTTTTCTTTAAAAAGATTATCCGTGAGGCTGACCAGAGGTGGTCTGTAAATCCAGACCAGAGACACGAAAGGATCTGACTTTAAAAAACACTTCAAAACTAAACAAAGCAACACATGAGGTCTTCCCCCACGCAGCTTTCATAACAGCTCCACCCCGATCCTGGGACGGACTGCTAAGGTCCCAGTCAGACTGGACTGCAGCCAGTGCCAATGGCTTCTTCCTTTGACACTCATGTTATACTTATCAGGGGCCCAGTAGACTCCTTCTTGCAGCCAGACACAAATGAACTACAAGATTAGTCTGTAATTGGCAGCAACAGCCAGGCAAGAAGAAACAGAACAGGGGAGCTGTGCTGGTAATAGTTCTGTTTCTGCAGAACAGCCATGAAGAGCAGGATGTGCTGATGGAGGAGAGGGAAGCTAGACGGGGACTGCACAGAGAGATGGCGCAGGCAAGGCGGCATCTCCAGGCACGGGGCAGGAAAAATCGCGCAGGCTCTGGGTTCAAATCAGTCTGGGTTCCATGTCTAGCTCTGTCACTTTGTGGTTCTGAAACCTGGGCAACTGACCTGGTCTCCTGAGCCTCAAGTTTTCTTCATCTGCAAAATGGGCGTGTGAACCTTGCTGGTATATTGGGAATGTTATATAAAATGTTATATAAATTATATATGAAAAACACTCAGCATAGTGCATGGCACGCAGTGCTGTGTGTGCTCTGCTTAGTCGCTCAGCCGTGTCCAACTCTTTGTGACCCCATGGACTGTAGCCCGCCAGGCTCCTCTGTCCAAGGGGATTCTCCAGGCAAGAATACTGGAGTGGGTTGCCATGCCCTCCTCCAGGGGATCTTCCCGACCCAGGGATCAAACCCAGGTCTCCCGCACTGCAGGCAGATTCTTTACCATCTGAGCCACCAGCGAAACCCACAGTGGGCACTTGATAATCATAATTGTTATTTTAATTACTAGTCATTATGTCTGTTCTTGTCTTTGGAGAGGACTACAGAGCAGGAATCTCTTATTAAGCCTGAGCTTTGCTATCAGGTAGTAATGATTCACAACTTCTTCCCCGTCTAGGCCATTCCCTCACCGCTTGTCATCAGCCATCCTGACAGCTGGTCCCTCAAACAAAAAATACCCTCCCCTGCTCAGCCTGCTGACTGCTATTCACTCTTCAGGTGTCAGCTCAAACGGTACCTTTTCTGTCAAACCTCCTCCAGCCTTTGTTCCCTATGCACTGAGACTCTCATCTGTCTGTATCTGGGTTACGGGACACTGGACGCGATGCTCTGGCTATTTACTTACGTGTCTGCCTCCCAAAGTCTTCCCTGGCGGCTCAGGTGGTAAAGAATCAGCCTGAAATTCTCTGTGTTGCAAAGAGTCCAACACAACTGAGCAGATAACACTTTCACTTTTCACTCTGTCTCCCCAGTCCTGTCACTACTTGATGGGAAGAGATGGGATTTTATTCTTTTCTGTGTTTCCAATGCTCAGCTTGATGCTTTTCTAGCCCACAGCTGCCATTAAGTGCATGAGATCTCCATTTTTAGTTTATTTAAACAATATTTTCAATCAAATTACTTAGCTTTCTTGTTAACTTCTTTCTTAGGAGTGGTGGTAACAGGAGAGATGTCCTGTTTATCTGGACATGTCCCCTGTGACTTGCCCTATAACATGTGACAGATTTAATTTTCCCAGATGACACTGATTTTGGCTAAATAAAATGCAGTGACCTTAGATCCTACTCTGCAGTGCAGGGGCAGCCTTGAGCTTTCTGATTCTTGATGAGAGCTGGAGGTCAATTTTTCATTTATTTTCGTATCACCCATAATAAGCGAGTGCTATTCGCCAAGGCAGAATCTAGGTCCTTGAGGAATATGGGGGGGGGGTCCCTGTCCACTGAGAGGAGGCCCCCCATCCTGAGATTTTGGCTCATGTCTTTCTGCACCGACCCAGAGAAGTGCCACGTAGGCGACGTTTCTCAGATCAGTGAATTCCAGAAGAGGGTGGCATTTGGCAGACTGTTCAGTGGCCCCCTCTTGGTGCCCCAGAACAAATCTGAGGTTGGGTTTCGTCAGCTAAGTGTAAGGGAAAGAGCACCAGTTGTGAACCGAGAGAACGTGGGTTCTAGTTTTGACAGGCCACCTAAATGGTTCAAGCGGTGGGCTCCTCGGCCATCAGACCATGGCGGCCCTGCCCTGCTTCACTGACAGCCTTAGCATCAGCTTCAAGTGAAACGATCCAGCTCAACGGCCCCTTCGAGTTGGCAGAGCTCTTGGGCAATCTTCCGCTCACTTCTTCCTCGGGCCACCTGCACTGGGAGTGGAACCCGGACCTCTCCCAGGAGCAGCGCCCCCGTCCTAGGGGCAGAGCTGTGGGCACCCGGGCTGCCGGTGTGGAAGCATCCGCTGCCATCTCTGGGCGCCAGTTTGTCCCAGACATGCTGCTAGCCTTTTATATGCACAACCTCCTTTTCATCACAAATAACCATAGAAGGCAGGTACTTTAAAAAAAAAAAAAAAACTGCTTTAGAAACCTGAGATGAGATGTTTAGAAACTTGAAACTTGAGCAGGGCCAGAAAGTGCTAAGTGGCAGGATGGTATTTATCTTTGATCTGCTGGATGCCAGAGTCTGTGTTCACTCCACTTCCCCGCGCTGCTCCTCAGGGCCTAGAGAGCTCCTCTGCCTTTCTTGCCCAGGGTGCCTGCCCATCTCTGAGGACTTAGCTCCGACATCACCTCACCTGGAATGCCTACCTCTCCTGGATTCCGGGGTCCCTGCTTTCCCCTCCTTCTTCTGTTGTGTCTCCGCCAGACTCTCAGCACATCATACTTTCAGTACCTCCAGCACCTTAAGACCCTTTTCTGCTTAGCTGTCTGACTCCTCAAGGACATCCTGGACTCTTTAGGGGTAGGGCCAGGGCCAGGCTTCAAATTCCTGCTGCTTAGCCCTGAGCTGGTACGGAGTCAGTGTTCCAGAAAGGCCTGCTGACTTTATGAATCAGTGAGTAAATGCCTATCGGCTTCTCTGGGATTGCAGACAGGAAACACCCACTGCTAAGGATCGTAGGGTGATGGTTCTCAACATCAGATTCACCTGGAAAACTCTTTTCTTTTTTTTAAAAAAAGTCTCACCCATCTGAAGGGCCTGGAATCTGTCACTTGAAGATCACTTGGTTGCTCCTGAGGCCCAGCTGGCTTTGGAAACCATGCCTTTAGAGCAGAGCCTTTCAAACTTTGATGTGCTCATGAATCACATTAAAATGAAGATTTCAGCTCCGTAGTTCTGGGTGTGGTCCGAGAGTCTGCGCTTCTATCGAGTTCTCAGGGGATGCTGATGCTGCTCATCTGTACTCGGAGGAGGTGGGCCTTCCTTAGAATACTTTGCAAACCATAGATGTGAGAGATGGGAGATGGTCTGCCGCTGAGACTTCAGGCCCGGTGCTGTGGACAGAGACCCTGTCTGATCTGGTTCTGATCTCCAGTACCCTGGGCAGGGCTGGGCACAGAGCAGGCTCACAGTTCCGTTGCCAGAGTCTGGGCAGGAGTTCCTGAAGACCTGCATTCTTTCCTACTTCTTTAAACACAACCCTGGTACCTCTGGACATTATGCAAAATCTTAGGGGCTATAAAGTATTCATGGGGTTGCAAAGAGTTGGACACGACTGAGCGACTGAACTGAACTGATAAAGTATTAATCCTGAAGTAAACGAGCTGCAGTGGGCCTTACTCTGACCTCTATCTGGACAATATGGGGAATTTCCTAGTAGGAGCTGTGAGCCCAGGAGTCTCTTGGCACCAAAGGCAACCTATCCCCTGCTTCTGAATGGGGATTTTCCCTCTCCTTCAGTATAAGACCTGCCTTGTGTAAAGGGGTGTCCTTTGACCACATCATATAGCAGCCTTGGCAGACCTTGATCCACTGGTTCCTGGAACTAGTAGAAAGAACTTGAGCACTAGAACCACACAGATAGGGGTTCAGATACCAGCCCCGTCACCCACGTGATAGGTGACCTTGGGCAAATTACTACTCTGAGCCTCAATTATTTGTCATCTGAGAAATAGGTATAATCATAGCTACTTCCAAGGGTTACTTTGAGGACAAAATTGTATGAAGGATGTAAACCTTGAGAATAGTGTCCGCTCCATTAAAAAATATAAAAGCCCAATTAATGGTAGCTGGTCACCTTGAGAAACCTCCAGAACATTTATGTTACTGCACAATGAAAAACACCAGTCTGTCATACTTAATACTGTCTGTCTAACCTATTTTCTGAGGCAACTAAGGGCTCTCTTCGAGTTAACATAGTATGTGTAGCTGGGTTTGATGGAGATCTGAGTTCAGATGTACTTCTGAACAACAGACGTCAAACATTCCTCCATGAACCTAGAAGAGAGATCTGGGAGGAGGTGAGGATCCTTAGTCCCTCAAGGAAGGCAGGGAAGACGATGCCCAAGGGAATGGGGGTCTCTGTGCTGAGCATGCCCAGCGTGGTGGGCTGAATTAAGGTTGTAAAGGCCAAAGAAGAGACACACACACAGGCTAAGAGTCCTAGCCTGAGCCTCCAGTTCCTTGGAGCAGCTGGAACAGCACATGCCAATGGACTAAGAGGACGGAATTTTAGAATTTCTTTATTCCATTTCTGGCATTTACTGATGGGAACACTAAAGCTGAGAGAGGGAGGGATTTGCCAATATCCAGGTGCCAGTTAAAATCAGAGGTGGAGCCCAGGTCTTCTCCTTCCTGACTGTCTTTAGAAAACTGGAAGGCAGAAAGAAATCCCACTTTTCCCTTCTACTTTGGTTCACTTTCAAAACAGGTTTTAGCACCTGAGAAAACAATGAATTGAGAGAGGGCAGAAGCCAGCTCTGAATTCACACCACAGGCACATCACAAGGTCACTAACAGCACAAACCAAAGGCACCAAAATCACGGCTCTCGGTTTACAGACGATGCAGCTGGAAGCCTGAAAAGCTGCGTGGCCAGCCCAAGGCCACAGGAATACGCAGCAAAGCTGGACAAGCACCCTGGCTTCTGAGCCTTGCCAGCTAGGTCCCCCGTCCCCTAGCTGTGACCCGGGCAGTCACCACCACTGACTGGAGTGTTAATGGGAAGTGTTAGTTTTCATCCAAGATCTTCACATGAAATGTACTGTTTTCTAAAAAACTGAACTTGAGGCACATATCAGCTCATAGTTCAGTAACATCCGCACTAAATTCTTTGAATATCTCTCTTCTATTTCAGTGTCAGGAAAAATACTCCTCCTCTGAGAAGGGGGCATATTTTCCCATTTCTGGTAATGTAAACCCTGAAAACAATTATGCTTCTCTGTTTAATCTGACTGCTAGGAAGCGCAGAGTCTTATCTGATGTGTAATCACATATATGTGTTTTCTCCTTTTTTCTTTTGTTCCCAAATTCTGTTTAATTTACTTTAATATATGTGTCTTTGGTTGCAAGAAGACTGAATTCCTTTTCAGGATAGACAGCGACATAATCATCATCATCCTAACAATTAGATAATAGTACTAATAACAATAATAAAAATAATAACTCATTAGAGTGCCTGGCACAATGCTAGATACTTTATAAATATCCTCTGTATTCCTTACAACAATCTCCAAGGGAGATTTTATTATCTTCAAATTAGAAACTAATGCTCAGATATATTTAAACAGTTTTTCAAGGTCACACAATTGAGAGCTTCAGTTTCCTCATCTGTAAATTGGATGTATCATGAAGAACTACTTCAAAGGTGGTCTGGGGGTGCGTTGGTATAATCTATCTAAGACGCTTAACCTGCTTTGTATTACACATTAAGTGCCCTGTACATATTACTACTATTATCTTAAAAGAATATATATGATTGCTATGTTATTACTATAATTACACAGACATGGACATAATCACTGTTGGACTGGGATCTATCTGACTCTCTACTGTCCTTTTCTCAGTAAGTGCCTGCCCACATGCCAGTCTGATCTGCGCCCACATGGGTAACTGAGAGCCACGTGGGTGGCAGTGCCAGCCACACTGCATGTGCCATGGCTACTGCCAAGTCACCCAGACGTGCGTGAGGCGGGGCGACTCTGAGGTGACCATCGCCTAGGAGCTGGACGAGCGCCGCAGACCGGGGGCGTCGGCCAGTCTGACGAGGACCACTCCTGCTTGCTGCAGGGTCACTGGGCGCCCGCAGCTACTCTGTGACAAAGTTCCTGTCTGGGAGCAGCTCCCTGTGGGCGGTGTATACGGTCTGAACATCCTTCCCCATTCTGTCTTTGCTGGCAGACCTCCTGGAGGGGTCCCTTGGTGCCCCAGCCTCCAAACCCAAGGCACCTGGAATGGCTAGAGATGGATGAATCTGAAGCCTGTCTTCTGCCAGGATCTCTGCCTGATTGAGTCCTTCTCACGGCGTTCCCACTGTGATCCTCCAAGTCACTCAACACAGTGGGGATAATCTCCTCCTTCATTCTCAGGATAATCAGACTAGGGTGTGCAAATTACTCTGCCAAGGTTAAAAATTTCCCCCTATTACTCAGCCTGTCATGTCCACAAACTACCAAAATAAATGCTGCGCCGTGCCAGAGATGAAAGGAGCTCAGGCTCTCCCTACCCGCCTTCACCATTATTAATGACTTTCTTTCACTGTAGCCGATGTACTCCCAATCAGATCCAATCACAGAGGAGTCATTTGCCATGGAGCGATCTGAAATTGACACGTGCAGCTTACCAGACAGCATGCAACAAGGCAGGGAGAGACAGGAAATTCTCCACTGGTTGGCTTACCTATGTCTGAAATCTTTATTTCTGACAGAAGACAGGAGAGCAGGGAATAGAAGAAAGAATGAAGTGTTAGCAACAGGGTTAGAAGCATTATTAGCAGCCTGAAAACTTGACAGCAATGGTTCTGTACAATACTGTAATAAATAAAGACTTAGCAGCTCTGACACTGATATATTTCATATTGGATATTACTTGTCAGTGAGCTCACTTATAAGCAGCTACATATCACAGAAGCGGCATGGTTTCACCTGCACCAACACTGCTGACTCTAGCAGAAGAGGATGAGGTTGACCCAGGTGGCTGCTTGCACCAGGGCTAAGACGGAGGCTGACATGGTCGATTCCTCCCCTGCCCAGAGATGCGCTCTCAGAGATACACACGCTCACTATTGTGTCTCTGTGTGCACGATGCCCTACCGAGAGTGACCCAGACCTGCGTGGCCCACCACGATCATCCTCCTAATAGCACAGAGAATTGGAGCTACATTCTACTTAACAGGGGAGAAGGTGGCACAGAGAAACAGTCCTGGGAAAGAGGACGGGAAGGAAATATACTGAGATGATAACCTGTCAATAAATTATTTTTTCCCCCAATGTAATTTCCTCTTCCCTTCCTTACATACTATCTTCCATGATCTCTCTACAACTATGGCAGGGAGACAGGGAAAGTGGGGTCTCTTATTTAAAAGATGTGAAAATGGAAGTCCAGAGAGGGTAAGTGGTCCAGTTTTAGTTTCTCCGCCAAAGTGGGCTGACCCCTAGCCTATGGCTCTCTCTCCATTAAGGCACAGGAAAGAGAAAGACAATATGAGCAGTTAGTTGACTAAAGCAAATACACTCGAGGGTTCCCATTTCCCTGGCAGGCATCTATACTGGTCAAACTCATAAAAGAGAGAAAAAAAAATGGGCAGAGACTCTCCTGTCAATGGCCTGGTTCTCATTCCGCCTGATGTCTGATTTCCTATGAGTCCGCAGAATGTGAGCTTCTGTTTTCTTTTCACAGCCAAAGGCCCTCCGCTTCCTCTGTCCCTCCGTGGGTGGGGTGGGTGAACACTGCTCTTGTCTGCAGGGCTGTGATGGCTGTGGCCAGCTGGCCAGCCTCCCCTCCTCTCCCGTGTGCCCTGCAGAGCGGGGCTCTCAGCGGGCACTCACCTCTGGGAATAAGTAAACATGGCACTCAGCCAAGGTGGCCCCCACTGGGCCCCGTGACAACGCTTTGGTGAGGCAGAGCTGTGTGATGGCCTTCTGGGTTTGGGTCTGCCAAGCTGGACTCTGGGCAGGCTCCTTAAATTCCCTGAGTCTCCTTTATTTTATTTGTCAAGGGCAATAGTAATAATTAATAGTAAATAATAGCAAAATAATCTTGCAGAGCGGTCATATTAACACCAGGCAAATAGAAGAGGCCTTGCAAGAGAGAGTTTCCTTTTCCCCTGGTTACTTCCCAGCTCAAGGGCCCATCCTGCTCACAGGGACTCCAGCCCAGATGGGCAGATGGGCAGAGACTGTGAAACAGTCGTGAGAAACCTGGTACAGTTTCTCCTGAAAGGGAGGGTGGGGCTCCCCCATCTCCCACCAATCACAGCTCCCCTGGAATCCTGGATCCCAGGCTGTGACAGCACCCTGCTTCTGAAGTGCCTCGTCTGAGGGGGTGTGGAGATGTCCAACACACCGGGCCCCTCCCTGTGCGGGGAGAGTGCCTGTGCTCCGTGCCTCATGGGCAGAATGGGGAAAGGCGACAGCTGGCTCTGTCGCATATACACACCCAAGGAGTAGCCCATGGGCCTTCTCTCAGCACCGGACAGCTGCAGAGAACCGCCCCCAACTCCTGATGCCTGTTAAGTAACAGGGCCAGGCTGGGTAACATTGGCACTGGGGCCTAGTTCATGATAACCGTCCTTTGTCCTTTTAAAAAGACTCATGTGATGTGCATTTCAATGGGCTTGGTGCCAGGAAGCAGGAAGAAGACTGAAGGGCATCCAAGGAGTCTAACTCAGTGGCTGGCCGCCTTCTCCATTATCTGGACGGCAAGGGTGCTTCCCCTTCCCCGGGGTGGTTTGTCTGCATCTCCGTGTCCGGTGGAGAGCGGCGTTGGCTGCCTCGGAGCCTCCAGCTTACAGGTCAGCCTCTGGGAAGCAACCAGGCAGGCTCCGTTCTGTCCCCTTCTCGGGCCAGCGGGTCCTGCCAGGTGGACCCGCAGGGTGGCGAAGGGACATGCCAGGAACCGCGAGGGAGGCCTCACCGAACATACCTCAGCTCCAGGATGTTGGTGACGTTCCCGGAGGGGAAGATCCTTCGGATGTAGTTGAAATCTCCCACGTAGAGGCTGCCGTCGGCGCCGCACGTGAGGGCCACGGGGGCCAGGAGCTTGTTGCCGTCGGCGAGGCCGTTGCAGCTGGGACAGGAAATGCTCCTGCGGCGCCCGTTGCCCATGATGCTCCCAATGACAGGTGGCTGCTGAGACACAAACTGGTTCTCCCCGTTTCCCTTGTGCAGGATGCCTGGGATGAGGGCAGAGGAGCGGAGTCACTGATGGGGCTGGGGGCGGCTCTCCTGTGGCTGCAGGGTCACCTCGGTTTTGCAAGGGATGCCAGATCCCTGCCTACCGCTTCCAGACCCAGCTCCCAAGGCTGCCTCAGCCCGTAAGGAAACCCAGGCTGTCCTGGATAGGACACGCTGCTCTGCTGATAGGATTCCCACGACAAGGCTGTAAGATGGGTGCTGTTACCCTCCCGGTATTGACAGGGGACCCCTGACATCACATATTGACGTATTGACATCACACAGATGATAGGAGAAGCACTTCTGAGTCCCGGCTCTGAACCATTCAGCTTCACCGCCTCTCAAATAAACTGTACACACCGCACGGGTCAAGTTTGTGTCTCCATCACAGCACAGAACTGTTTTTTTTAAGGGTGCAATAGCTTTCTGTCTTAAAAAACCCGAAGTCACATACCTTATTTAAAAAAAACAGTTTATTACTAAAAAGGTACGCATCATTGTATGCTTCAGCAAGTAGTGATTTTTTGTAGGTGGAGGCTCTTGCCTCGCTGTTAATGGTGCCGCACAGAATTCTTTATTGCACTTATCTGTTCTCTCTTTATAATGAGACCATTTCAGGTGCGGAGACAATGTCCTTCCCCCTCTGTATCTCAGTGCCTAGCACAGAACCTGACATCGAGGAGATACCAAGAGATGTTCATAGAAATGCCTGAAGGAGACTCAAGTCTAAACTAGCCCTGGACTTCATTCACCTCCAGACTTTTGTTTGCAGTTATTTTGGCTTTTCTGACACTCATGACCAAACTGAGTCCTAACTACTACTCACAGATCAGTTTCTGGATGCCTTGTTCTATCCCATGGGATCTATTTATCTGTTCCTGTGATAGCACCACACAGTTTTAGGTATTACGGTTTTCCTAAGATAGCTTAACATCTGGCAAGTGCCTCTTTTTTGTTCTTATTTTAAAGAGTGCCACAATTATTTATAAATCTTTATTTTATTACAGACTTCAGAATTAGTTTGTCAATCCCTGTACCCCAAATGCAGTTGCTTTGATGGGCATTCTTGCATCTACAGCTTAGGTAGGAGAGATCTGACATCATCACCATATTTACTTGTCCAGTCCTGAAACACAGTCCCAGGGAGCTATCTCACATACAGCTCTGGGATTTCCCTGGTGGACCAGCAGTTAAGGGTCTGTCTACCAGTGCAGGGCACACAGGGTTCAATCCTTGGTCTGGGAGGATCCCACATGCTGCGAGGCAACTAAGTCCATGTTCCAAAACTACGGAGCCCATGAGACTAGAGCCTGTGCCTGCAACAAAAGAAGCCACCGTAATGAGAAGCCCGCGCATGGCAACAAAGAGCAGCCCCAGCTCGCCACAACTAGCGAGAGCCTGCAGGCAGCAACTCAGACCTACTGCAACCAAAAGGAAATAAATAATAAATAACCTTTAAAACACAGATCTGACGGTGTCACTCCATGCTTTAAACCCTTCAGAGGCTTGAAATTTGCCTCTGGGTGGAGTCGAAAGTCCTAATCTTCCTACCTGGGACTCCGCTGCTCAGGCCCCCCACTCCGGCTTTTGCTACTCCCTTCATTTCACCCTTTGCTCAAAGCACAATGATCCTTCTCTCCAGTCACTCCTCTTTTAGGCTTCAGTGCTTTGGCACGGACTGTACTCTCTGCCCAAAATGTTCTTCCTGCTTGATATACATGGCTAATGCTGTAGACCCCTGGAGACTCAGTTTGGAAGTTCCCTCCAAAGAGACAACCTGCTGAACCAAGAAGCTGAGTCAGGGGCTTCTCTTCTGCACCCCCCCCTCCGTGTTCCCAGCTTCGCCCTGTGACGGCACCATCCATGGCATGGTGTGAAAACTGCCTGAGACGTGTTTGTCTTGCCCAGAGTGTCAGCCCTGGAAGCCCTTCACTTCTGCGTCCCCAGTGCTCAGCAGTGACAGTACAGAGCAGGCCACCAAGGAGTATTTGTATTAACCCTTCTGACCAATGGATCACACGTGAGCCTATGGCATTTGCCTGTGTTTTTGCCTCACAGTGAACAAAGCACATGAGACAAGTCTCACACCAGGGCCTGGCTCCTGGAATTCTACTAATCGGCTCACCGCTTTGGATGTTGAGGGCGTGGTGCTTGTCCAGGCTCCATCCTCCCAGCTTGGAAGCATCGATTTCATAGCCCTGCAGCACTGCTGTTCTTTTCTCCCACAGGATCAGATCTGGGCAGGATTCATACTCATAACCCACGGAAACTGTAGGGAAAAAAAGGCACAAAACATACACGTGAGCAAAGCTTCTTCTTCTGCATGCAAGGCCCCTGCTTGTCTTTGCTTTGAAAACAAAGAAGGATCAGATTCCTAAGTGGCAACCAGATCTATGTGCAACACTAGCCCAGGGAGGCTGAGGCTGAACGTCATTTTTTGGGGAGCGATGGGACCTCACTGTGAAGCAAAAGTGTTAGTCGCTCAGTCATGTCTGACTCTTTGCGACCCCGTGGACTCTAATCCACCAGGGTCCTCTCTGTCCGAGGAATTCTCCAGATAGGAATACTGGAGTGGGTAGCCATTCCCTCTTCCAGGGGTATCTTCCCAACCCAGGGAACGAACCTATGTCTCCTGCTTTGCAGGCAGACTCTACCATCTGAGCCACAGGGTAAGACCTTGGTACATCATTAGGAACTGTTAAACAAATGTTCTAAATACTTTAAGGACCCATGTCAACTGATTCCAGGGAAATGGTCCTTAGTATGGAAAGTACTTTAGGTACTAAAGTCTTCATGCAGTGTTATTCATAATAGCGGAAAGTTGGAAGTGATCTAAAGGTTGAAAGGGGATGAGAGGTTGAGCAAAGCAAGTGCATCCACTCAAGGAACAGGCAGCCACTGGGAACTGTGGTTATGACGATCAAGGGTGACATGGCAAGTGCTTAAGGGGTAGTGCTGAGCTAAAGGACTGGTTATATATGGTACTAAATCTATGTTAAAAAAACTATGCATGAAAGAAGAAAATAAATTTTAATGGTAAGAACTAGTTTTATTTGCTTACAGGATAACTTTATTTCTATTTTTTGGCCCATTTATCACATTTTTATTGACGAACACGTAAATACTTGAACAAAGAAAAAAAAATTTTCAAAATCACTGATAATAAATACATGGAAAAGGAGCTCCTCTAGGGTACTCTGAAAGCTGGAAGTTGCTCTGAGGTCTCAAAACTTGAAAATCTCCAGTTTCACTTTTGTTTCGTAGATCCAGGCCTCCTTAGGGGATCACTGTGGGGCAGGCTAACCATGGAGGGCTCCCCAAGGCTAGGTTTGCAAGAAGCCCTGTGACCGCCCTATGGAAAGGAACTGGCAGAGACAGGAGTGCTGTTTCTTCCAAGCATCTTTCTGCGCAGACACTTCTTTCCAGGGGGCAATACCCTGCCACACGCTCAAGATGGGAATTAACCCCTGGGCAGCTCTTTGGAGCTTCCTTTAGGTGCCAGGAGAGACTGCCGGCTCCCCAGGGCAGGTGGAATGCGCTGGAACGTGCTCCTGTGATCTCCTCCCGGTGTGACCTTGAGTCCTGCCAGGAGCCACAATCTGCTTCTTCCTGGTCCCCAGTCCTCTCAGGAAAGCGAGCCTCAGCCCCAGTGTCTGTGCAGAGAGACCAGGCTGGCGGGCAACCACTGCTCTCACGTCACCTGAAGAGGCGGCCAGGCTTCACTGTTTCTGAGGAGAGCACAGGAGCAGCTTGGTTTCCAGAAGGGGCCGTGAACAGTGAGGGACGGCATCTTGGCTCCCAGTGTGCCCAGTGGGGAGGGGGCGGAATGCAAAACTGCAGGAGAGCTCTCAAGATGGGAATTAACCCCTGGGCAGCTCTTTGGAGCTTCCTTTAGGTGCCAGGAGAGACTGCCGGCTCCCCAGGGCAGGCGGAATGCGCTGGATGTGCTCCTGTGATCTCCTCCCGGTGTGACCTTGAGTCCCGCCAGGAGCCACACTCTGCTTCTTCCTGGTCCCCAGTCCTCTCAGGAAAGCGAGCCTCAGCCCCAGCGTCTGTGCAGAGAGACCAGGCTGGCGGGCACCCACTGCTCTCACGTCACCTGAAGAGGCGGCAAGGCTTCACTGTTTCTGAAGAGAGCACAGGAGCAGCCTGGTTTCCAGAAGGGGCCGTGAACAGTGAGGGACGGCATCTTGGCTCCCAGTGTGCCCAGTGGGGAGGGGGCGGAATGCAAAACTGCAGGTGAGCTCTGGGGAAAATCCGGCCCAGCTCCTTCCCTCTGCGGCCCTGGCAAGTCCCCTCACCTCTCTGGGCCTCAGCTTCCTCGTGTAGAACAGGAGGACACTTTCCGACTCACAGGGCGGCTGTGAGGATTAACTGAGATATCAACGTACAGAGAGATCACCCCCCCGGAGCAGATGCTCAACAGACCCTCTTGTGGCCTGCCCGGCTTGCTTCCTTCCCCCTTCCTCTCCTTTCTTTTTACATTACTTCTTCTCTGCCTCCTCACTCTGCCTTTCCTGAATCTAGAAAGGGAATGAAACTGGAGCAAGGATAAGGTGAGAAGAGTTCCAGGGCTGTTACTCTAAGTGCTTGGAGGATTAGCTCTGCGGGGGTTAGGACTGCTGTCAGTCCAGCTCTGAATCCTGCCAGGGACCCTGCTCTAACCCAGGAGCTGAGATGAGCAAGCTGAGGTCTCAGTGGGGAGGAGACTGCAGGTGAGGCTGTGGTCACCTTCTGCTACATCTCAGAACAACAACAAAAACAAACCAACAATAACAGTAACAAAGAGACAGACTGGAAAGGAGGTAGAGAGGCCCAAAAGCCATTTTTATGAGGGAAGAACCTTAGCTCCTGAAGCTCAACAAAACTGAAGAACCCAGAAGTTCCAGTAAGTTCAGGGTCAGTTCAGGCCCTACGGCTGCGGGGGGACTGGGACAATGTCTACAAGGCTCTGTCTCTGTGGCACCAGCCTCTTTTAGCTCATCCTATGCCACCAAAGTGCTCTTCAAGGGCCTTTTTGGTTTTGTAACCCTCTTTCTTGGACTTTCCAAGTGGTGCTATTGGTAAAAAATCTGCCTGCCAATGCAGGAGAGAGACATCAGAGATGTGTGTTTGATCCCTGGGTCGGGAAGATCCCCTGGAGTAGGAAATGGCAACCCACTCCAGTACTCTTGCCTGGAGAATCCCTTGGACAGAGGAGCCTGGTAGGCCATGGTCCATAGGGTCTTAAAAGAGTCAGACACGACTGAACTGACTTAGTAGGCATGCATGCAACCCGTGGTCAAATTTTCCACATGCAGTCCTTTGAGTACATTCTTTTAGGTCGTGGACGGTCACTGACAGCTCCTAACGGCCAACTAGACCTTAGGCATTTCTGAGATGGAAAAGGGAGGGAGAAGAGACAAGGGAAGAGGACCGAGAGCCCCGTTCCCCCAAACCTTCCTGTCTCTTGAGGACGGCGCTGGGCCCTGCGGTGGGGAGGCTTACCGAAGGCTTCTGAGAGCCCAAACACCTTCTGGTTGTAGACGTCCGTCTTGTCCCAGATGAAATAATAGGACAGGTCTGGGGCGGCGGCAAACCACTTCCTGAAGAGACGGCCCTCAACTGCCACCATGAGGTGGACCTTCATGAGGTTGAAGGGGATGGTGGGGTGGGTGAGGCTGATCCTCAGGACAGATTTGTAGCCGGGGGTCCGGCTGCTCAGGTAGCTCAGCCTCATCTTGCAGCCAGAGATGGCGATTTCCTCCTGCAAAGCCTGGAGAGACAGATCACAGTGGGTGACGGTCACGGAATCACCGGCAGAGGGGAGGCGGTCACAGCCCCACAGACTCTGGGTGTTGGAGGGGCAGAGGAGGAAGCAGAAAAGGAAGAGAGGGAAGGGGGAGGAGGAGAAAGCAGACTGCAAAGAGGAGCGGGAGGAGGAGGGAGGAGGGAGTGGGGCGGAAGACAAGAGTCAGAGGCCTGGTGTCCGGGGCGCACTCTCAACTGGTGCATCCCTGCCTCGAGCCTCTGGTTCTTCCTCCTTTCAACAGGGATGATGCTGCTCAACTCACTGCATTAGTGAGAGGATAAGACAACGTGTGTAAAAAATACTTATCTTAATGTCACCTCTCATTCACCTGCTGTGTCATCCCAGAAGACCCACGGAACCTCTGCATTGCAATTCCTCATTGGGTTAGTCTGCGGACCAGGGAAGGTCACGTATATAAACTGCCCAGCACGTAACTCAGTAAATGTCTCTAAGCGGGATGATGGTACTATGGCTGTAGTGGCTGCTGCTGCTGGAAGCAGGGGGCATTGTGAAGACAGACCTTGCCCTGGGATCAATGTGGAGAGCTGTCTCAACTAGAAGAACTGCTACTCTCTCAAAACCTTCCTAAGGTCTGTTACAAGTGACTTTCCTCTTCAGGAAGGTAATCAGAGGCTACGAGATGTTGATGGAGCCTTTAGGTAGGGCTGGCAGTATAGGCTGCCAGGGACCAGGAGTGAACGGCCCCAGCTCACCAGCATGAAGAGGGCAGACGGGCTGCTCGCTCCAAGGCTGTGCCAGGGGAGCAGCCTGGTGGGGAAGGCAGCGCTTCACCTCCTGGTGCAAAGGGCTCGGCTCCAAGACAGGACGCTGAAATGAAATGCCAAGACGCCCAGGCACGTGGCTGAAGGGGAGAACTTTTATCGGCTTGATGCTCTGGGCTCTGTTTCAAGAAGGGGACATCAAATCAATTGAGGCTAACGTATCCATTAAAAGGACAGTGATTATTTTACTCTCATGTTCACGGGGGAACTGGGCCTTCACAAAGAAAGGCCTCTTCCTTTCTGCCTATGTCATAGACGGGAATGAATTCTCACTGGCACTCATTCTGAACACATGATGTTTCCGGGATGGGGCCTATACGACAGCAATCTTCCCCAGCTTCGGCTCACAAGTTCTAGGCAAAGCAGGCCTTGAGTGCCATCCCGATGCGCTCATACATATTTATTAATACTTTCCTTAACATATCCTTTAAAATGCACATGTCCCTGTCCTTGCAAAGGCTAGCCAATGACAGGACTGGGGAGACCCAGATAATAAATAGGCAAGGTTTGTGACCCAGCCAGGCTTGTAGACATTCAGCCCAGGGAGCATTGTAAAGAGGAGGGGGACCCTTCACCTCATTTGTTCCAAAGTCCCTGCTCCTGGGAAGCTGTCTTGCTGGAGCCAAACCAGGGCTGAGTAACAAACCACCCCCCTCCAGTAAGCTCCATCTCCACCGACAACCATCTCCTAAGAAAGGTCAGCCTCGTGGTGGAGACAGGAGACAGGCACTGAATCTCTGAAAAGGAGTGAGGTTTCAACCTGGGGGTGCAAAGAGAATTCCCAAATGGCTGCATTTCCTTCCTGTGGGCTGTGTCTGAAGCCACTCAACAGGGCACAGCAGAGAGATGTGCCTGCTCAACCAGGCAAGAAATACACACAGGGACACATCTAAATGCCCCGCTGCCCCGACACCAGAGATCATTAAGCTGCCGGTTGCCAGAGCTCTCGTTAGGCCGGTGGGACGGCTGGGGCTTCTCCCCCAGATTCCGCACTGTCATCCCCTGTCTTCCTCAGCCTTCCTTTCTGCCATGAGAAACTGGGCCCAGATGGCAAAAGAAATTCTACTCCACACCGCTATGTGAGGCAAAGAATCTATCTTGATTTCTAGCAGATTAAAATGCATTTTTCCAAATTACTTCCTTTTAATGATAATGGAGTAAAGCACTTACGTGCATGGATTTGAGCCACAGCATTCATTAACTGGCCTGAAGGTGGAGCGTGTAAAATAATCTTCATCATTATACTGGTTAAAATCTGTTGAGCACTTAGTAGGTGCCAGATATTGTGTGAGGCATCTCATACACATTTTCTCATTTACTCTTCAGTGTGATGTGAACATTTGGGACCTCCTGTCTCACTCCTCTTGGTGGAAATTATCATTGCTATTTTTAACAGAAATAATGAGAGAGGGAAGACACCGGAAGTTGGGGAAAGGGGATGTAGAAGTGAAGTGGATGGCAGAGTGGAGAGGGAGTGGGGATTTATTATATGTTGGAGGATGCCAGGCACTTTACAGGGCTCACGTCTATTAAATGCATAAGGGTGTGGTCGTCATAGCCTGACACCACCCCACCGTGGGGTTTTGGCCATCAGGTTCCAGGTGGTGGGTTGATGTTTCTCTTTGTCCTCTGTCTCTGAGATCCTCCCCTACCCCCTAAATGAAATAAAAGCATGGAGAAATGCAGCTCAGAAACCTGGGTGTACCTGGATTTCTGGGACAATGGGGCCCTTCTCTGCACAGGAGCTGGCGAAGGACGTCAGCGGGGAAGGAGACACGACCGGGTTGGGGCGGGCGAAGCTGCTCAGGTCACAGCTGGGAATCTCATTCTCCTCGTGCCGCATGACTATGGTTTCCATGACGAAGAAGCGATCCCAAGGCAGCCAGAGGGTGTGCTCCTGTGCGATGAAGGGGGCCCTCTCGAACCGCAGGATGATGGAGACGCCGCCGTTGGTGACCAGGTCAAAGCTGTTTGGGAGGGGAGGGTGCGAAGGAGAGGAGCGGCAGTCGAAGGAGGAGAGGGGCAGAGAAAGGAGGAAAAATTACACCAAAGGGTCTCAGCGCTTGCTGAGGGAGACCCTAACACCTCAAAGACCAGACCGCAGTCACACACAGTGACCTGGATCCTGGAAGGCATTATTTTTCTGAAAGTGATTCAGCATAGAGAATTTGCCAAGACCAAATAAATAATAACCTGCTATGGAGAACCATTTTCCAGGACACAGGACCGCTGATGAGCCTCTGCTCTGGTGCTCCTGGTACTTAGGGCTTCTTAGAGCTGAAGCCCAGCGAAAATTTGTCAGATAAAGCAGAGCAAACCCTGCCCTGGCATTAGGGAGCCTAAGCTTAGTCCTGGCTCTGCCATGGGCTACTGCGTGATCGTGGTAAGTCACTTAGCCTCTCTGATTCTCAGCTGTCTCATCTGTAAAAGGCAAAGGTTCCAATAAATCCTTCTTGTCACTAAGATTCTACAACTCCTCTGTAATTTTAGGGCTTCCCTGGTGGCTCACTGGTAAAAAATCCGCCTGCCAGTGCAGGAGTCCCAGGTTCGATCCCCGGGTCAGGAAGACCCCTTGGAGGAGATAATGGCAACTCACCCCAGTATTCTTGCCTGGGAAATCCCATGGACAGAGGAGCCTGGCAGGCTACAGGTCCATGGTGTCAAAAAAAGAGTTGGACATGACTGAGCGACTAAAGAACAATAACAACAATAATTCATTTCAATGTATGACAAAAACCACTGCAATGTTGTAAAGTAATTAGCCTCCATCTAATAAAAATAAATGGAAAAAAAAAAGAAAATCGAAAGCAAATATAGATTGGAGAAAATTACACTTTTTATTGTTATGTTCCAAACAGAGGTCAAATTGCTGTGTATACATTCTTGTACTTTTTTCCTCTTCATTGTATGAGTTATACTTATGAAGTATCATGTCTTCTGTATGACTGCTATGGATTCACCAATGTCCTTTCATGTTCTGTGTTGTCTGGCACATAGGAGGCACTGGATAAATGTTTACTGAATTAAAGAAATACCAAGTCAATGTATCAAAAAAAAATAGTAATTTTAACTCTGATTATGATGCTCAATCAGGCTTCTGGAGTTACAAAACAAGTAGTTTAGAGAAGGGCGCGGTTAGAATCACTGTAACTTAAGTGAAAGGGGAACCAGAAGACAGGGTCCCAAACTCTGAGATGACAGCTCTGTGGCAGTGTCGCTGGGAGGTGGTCACCCAGCCCTTGTTCATCGCCCTTTGGGGATGGCCAGGCACTTGCTGGCAGCTCTGCTTTTGGCTCAAACATCTTAATTCCCATCACTTGCAGACAAACCTGGCAGAGTACTCGTCCATTCAAGCCTTGGCATGGAACTTTTATTTTTTTTTGGAGATCCCAGGAAACCGAGTTCCCATTTGTACCCCATGTTTCTGACACTGCCTCCTACAGTGTCTGAGCTGGGGGCTCTGCAGGTTTGTGGTCAGAGACCAGGCGAGCTCACGTTATAGAAGATGGGAAAGGGGGCCCAGTGGTAAGCCCAGATATGTCCCCAGTTCCCCAGGCTGGGTCTGCTTTGTCAAGAAGAGCATGCGGCTGCTTCCTAAGACCTCACGTTCAATGTGCCACAAGATTAATTCAGACCCACCCCCATCAAAACAGAAAGTTCAAAATCAAGTAATAGCTGACTCACTGGAAGCGAACTTCACTGCCATCTGACCTGGTCCTCTCTCTGAATCTGATGCTGTACTTCCTTCCGCAGAATCATCACCAAGAAGCCAAATTCCCAGTGATGAGATGCTCTGCCCCCAGCAGGACTGTCTCATCTCTGGTTAGTTCTGGCTGTTAATAGACTTTTCTGGGGGAGGGGAGTGAGCCTGGCTTCCTCTCCTTCAGCGCCTTAGCCACTAGGCCTTGTTCTTCCTGCTGGGGTGACTTCAAACTAGTCTGCCTCTGCCTTGGACAGTCCTCTAGGACTTGGAAACGCTGATCTTGTCCACCTCCCACCTCCCAGCTCTGAAGTCTCTTCGGACAGAGCACTTCAGCTCTTACTCTCAGGATGCATTTCCAAGGCTTGTCCTCATCTTGCTCTTTTGGATGGAGGGCTTCTGCTAACTCCTGGCCCCCTCAGGATTTCAGTCCCCTCCCCGGGTCCCCTCTGCACCATGTACACTCCCCCTAAGAGCCCACATCACTGTGCACTGGAATCCCACATTCACTCTCAGACCCAGGGGCACCGATTTTGCTCAGTCTCTCCTAACTTAATCCAGTGTTTCACGGTTATATGAATAGTTTATGGAATGAAGGCATGAGTGACACTGTCAATTTCTTCTGAATGGACTGTACACTAAACACCCTAAGTTCTTTCCTCCTTGGCTATTACTCTAAGTCAATCCAATGTTTACCTGTGCAGTTGGTTTTTGAGACCCCGCAACGGGACCTCATTTTCATCCCAGATAAACACACCCGGCAGGATTAGTCTCACTGCTCCAGGTAATAGTAATTTTAACTCTGATTATGATGCTCAATCAGGCTTCTGGAGTTACAAAACAAGTAGTTTAGAGAAGGGCGCGGTTAGAATCACTGTAACTTAAGTGAAAGGGGAACCAGAAGACAGGGTCCCAAACTCCGAGATGAGAGCAGTGTCGCTGAGAGGTGGTCACCCAGCCCTTGTTCATCGCCCTTTGGGGATGGCCAGGCACTTGCTGGCAGCTCTGCTTTTGGCTCAAACATCTTAATTCCCATCACTTGCAGACAAACCTGGCAGAGTACTCGTCCATTCAAGCCTTGGCATGGAACTTTTATTTTTTTTTGGAGATCCCAGGAAACCGAGTTCCCATTTGTACCCCATGTTTCTGACACTGCCTCCTACAGTGTCTGAGCTGGGGGCTCTGCAGGTTTGTGGTCAGAGACCAGGCGAGCTCACGTTATAGAAGATGGGAAAGGGGGCCCAGTGGTAAGCCCAGATATGTCCCCAGTTCCCCAGGCTGGGTCTGCTTTGTCAAGAAGAGCATGCGGCTGCTTCCTAAGACCTCACGTTCAATGTGCAACAAGATTAATTCAGACCCACCCCCATCAAAACAGAAAGTTCAAAATCAAGTAATAGCTGACTCACTGGAAGCGAACTTCACTGCCATCTGACCTGGTCCTCTCTCTGAATCTGATGCTGTACTTCCTTCTGCAGAATCATCACCAAGAAGCCAAATTCCCAGTGATGAGATGCTCTGCCCCCAGCAGGACTGTCTCATCTCTGGTTAGTTCTGGCTGTTAATAGACTTTTCTGGGGGAGGGGAGTGAGCCTGGCTTCCTCTCCTTCAGCGCCTTAGCCACTAGGCCTTGTTCTTCCTGCTGGGGTGACTTCAAACTAGTCTGCCTCTGCCTTGGACAGTCCTCTAGGACTTGGAAACGCTGATCTTGTCCACCTCCCACCTCCCAGCTCTGAAGTCTCTTCGGACAGAGCACTTCAGCTCTTACTCTCAGGATGCATTTCCAAGGCTTGTCCTCATCTTGCTCTTTTGGATGGAGGGCTTCTGCTAACTCCTGGCCCCCTCAGGATTTCAGTCCCCTCCCCGGGTCCCCTCTGCACCATGTACACTCCCCCTAAGAGCCCACATCACTGTGCACTGGAATCCCACATTCACTCTCAGACCCAGGGGCACCGATTTTGCTCAGTCTCTCCTAACTTAATCCAGTGTTTCACGGTTATATGAATAGTTTATGGAATGAAGGCATGAGTGACACTGTCAATTTCTTCTGAATGGACTGTACACTAAACACCCTAAGTTCTTTCCTCCTTGGCTATTACTCTAAGTCAATCCAATGTTTACCTGTGCAGTTGGTTTTTGAGACCCCGCAACGGGACCTCATTTTCATCCCAGATAAACACACCCGGCAGGATTAGTCTCACTGCTCCAGGATGCTCTTCCCCCTTCTAGAAGCTGCAGGGGTTTTGCACTGAACTAGCATCAGATCTTGCTCTTGGTAGATGGTGCCCTCAGATTCGGGTTCCCAAGTCCAAAGCCTGACTTTTCTCTGTTATGCTGAACCTTTTTATCTGCTTTGCCTTCTCTTCACGGAGCCCCTTCTAGGTTCTGTAAACCCTGTGTAGCGGAAGTTGGGTACCACCATCCTTCAATACGTAATGATAGAGAAAACTCAGGGAAGGTATTTATTTTCAGCTACGAGTTTAGGTGTTGGCTTTGTTTGGGGAAAACAGCCAGGGAACAAGTTTTCTGTCACAGAAATGACAGCATTTGTACTTTGACAGGACATTTTCTTTTAACACCAAGAACATTTCGTATTGGGGTACAGCCGATTAACAATGTTGTGGTAGTTCCAGGCGAACAGCGTGTCGGAACATTTTTAACTGTCAAGCAGAACTGTGGCCCAACTTACAAGCTCCCTTCACACGAGGATGAGTGTGGGGAGGGAGTGAAGAGAAAATGAAAAGACACTTTCTCAAGGCCATGAGCCAGCTGGGGGTGGCTGCTGCCAAGAGCCAGGCCCGCTCATCTGAAGGGAAACCTTGCTGCGGACACGGGTGTGATTCTGACCTCAAAGGGAAGGCCTGCTTCTCATATGAAGCCCAAACTTAGTGACGGCCCGTCAGAGCACTGCTGCTTAGCCTGTAAGAGACTTACATCACCTGTCTGAGCCTCAATCTCCTCATCTGAGATGAAGTTGGTGATCCTTGTTACTTGGCTGAGTTATTAATTAGATAGATGAGATAATGGATGAGGAAAGCGCTGGGCTCCATTCCCTGGGCTTTGTGCTTCAGTGAGTCTGAGCTGCCTCTCTTGTCTGCTAATCTTCTAAAATATTTCTTCATGACTTCTATTTTCCATCCTTCTAATGATCTGTTTGACTAGCTTCCCTGCTACTGTTTTCTGTTTGTGAAATCTTCTTAAGACTTGAGGTCTGGCATTTCAGCATGGGGAGTGTGTGTGTGTGTGTGTGTGTGAAGTGTGAGGGTGTGTGTGTGTAAGTGTGAGCGGGGTGGGGATCTGGGTAAAAGCAAAGTGCCTGCAGCGAAAGTGAGGCATACAAAGATGATTTGGACCTGGTCCGTGGACTTCCATATATTATTATCTCCAGGCTGTGTCTCCAGCCTTTCAGTTTCTCCTGGGTGTGAGAGGTAACAGAGAAGGTGAGTCAGGGACAAAGTGGAGGGAAATTGGCAAGATGCTCCCCATTCACATATAACAAACAGGGCTCTTCAGAAAATAAGTGATGCTTAGAGAATAAGTAATGACTTTCCCATACATTATGTAGTGTCTGAGATGGCAAGAAAATGTAAGCCCCGTAAATGCACTGGTAAGAACTGTTCTGAAACTCAAGCTCTAGGTTATGGCAGAGTCTGGCTACTCTGGTGTGATATTGTTGGCTGGTGCAGGAAATACGACTGACACCACCCAGGACCACCATGCTCTCATGTAGAGATTGCAGGGACAACACAACAGGAGGAATCAAAGCCTGGAGGTGCTAAGTGGGCACTGCCCAAGGCCCACCAAACTTAGTGGACTCTGGTGTGTCTTATGGACCCGTCCTAACCAAGCACAGTGCGCAGAGGATGGATGATTTGCCATCTCACAAGAACGATGGACGAGTTTTTTTTTTTTTAATTAAAAAAAAAATGTTTTGGCCATGCTGTACAGTATACAGGATCTTAGTTCCCTGACCAGGGATTGAACTCCTGCCCCCCTGCAGTGGAAGCATGGAGTCTTAACCACCTGACGACCTGGGAAGTTTCCTGGACAAGTATTATAGCAAATAAAAGCAGTCCCCATGACCCCTTTCTGATGACTGTTTCACAGCAGGTAATACTGTAGTCAGGATATCTGTTGCCTACAGTGCTCACATCTGCCATTTCCATAAAGCAGGCAGCCCAAAGGTGGAAGGTGGTAGAAACACCAGGAGGGAGGAGACTTCTCTGTGCTGTAGCGCGAGTCTACGCCAAGGTGCTTCTGGGGATCAGTGGCCTGGCCCGGGGAAGCTGGCCCCTGGGGACTGGCCGCCAACCTCTTCCATTCACAGGGAGGGGGAGGAGGGGGGAGTGGGCTCCCCATGCCAAGCGTGCCAGTCCCATCTAAGAGGCACACGTGTCTACAAACAGATGAGCCTCTACTTCATTATCACCTCGGCCAGGACACGTTCACATCTGAGATTGGATTAAAGAGGCGCTAAAATCAATCAGGCTGGAGCACAATTTCCAACACAGAGTGAAAATCAACCTTATGGGCCCACACTTAGCCAGATGGACTGCCACCACCTGATTTTATTAAAAATAGAGGACTTGTCACCACTGACAGCCTAAATATCCCACTTCCCTCATTTCCCTCCCCTTCTCTCTGAAATAGTCTTATGGCTTGCACTGGAATCATCACCTTCTTAATTTGTAATTTTAATAAACAGCTAATATTTACTGTATACTTACTATGTGTTAGACCCTGAAGATACAGGGTGAACCAGAGTGGGGCAGGGAACTAAGACTTATTAAACACCTAGTATGTGCATGGCATTTGTCTATCAAAGAATTGAATACTTACCGCTGCTATGTAAGAATGATAATATCAGGGACCATTTAACAGATGAAGAACATGAGGCCAAGAAAGGCTTGGAGATGGGTCCAAGAACACATGGCCAGCAAATGGGGGAACTAGAGTGATCAGAGAGACTTGACTTCATTCACGCTGGTAAACTAAAGGTCCTCACAGGGATCTGAAGGTCAGAGTTCAGTTATCAATCAGTGGCTTCCATAGACCTAGGTGGTTGCAGATGGACACCATGCAGCAGGAATGCTAAGACTTTAGGAGCTGTCTGGTCTGTAGAAAATGGTCCATGTGACAGTATTTTATATCATAAGCTATGAAACAGGAAAATATACATAAGGTACCTAGTGCTTACTCTGAGAACCAAATAAGAAAAAAACTGCTTAATTTAGGTCCTTAGTCAAGACCTGTCCTGAGTCACAAGACCTCACTCATAGCGAGTGAGTTGCAGGGTTGGGCACATGGATGCAGGTCCTCTGACTCCAGCTCCCATCCTCTCTGCATGATATCATTCCAGCAGCAGCTACATTGGCAAGACCATGAGTACAGGGTCTTTACTAGCTCTGGTTGCCAAAAGTCCTCTTACCTGCCATCCTGCCTGCTGATCGTGTATCCAAAGAGAGGGTTATTGACAAAACTGATATTCACACCAACCAGTGGGGTCCCATCCGATGTCATGACTTGACCACGAATGACACATGCATGCCTGTGGGCAGAAGAGAGAGAATAACATGACCTAGTTATGATGCTAGAACCCTGGCTAGCAGGTAAGAAGACAGAAGGCAGGTCACTCAGATATATCTCGGCACCCAGGGGCTCATGGATTCCACTTAGGATGAGCACTACTTTTTTTAATTTAGTGCCTCAATCTTTTTAGATTAGTACAAAAGTTAATATGGCCTCTGACTGTGAATGTTAAATCATTATAACTAGGCTCAAATATATCTTTATTAATCAAAATAGGAACCATTACAATGAACACATTTTTGCTAATGAGAAATAAGTTTGTTTATTCCTGTAATGTAAAAATCTGTGCTTTGGGATTCGATGAAATATTGGAAAGCATTTTCTGTCTCCTACTGATTGTGGAATTGTTTTCCCTGCAAAAAGTTGTCAAGATGCCTGAAGAAGTGATAGTTGGTTGGCGACAGATCTGGTGAGTATGGTGGATGATGCAAAACTTCATAGCCCAATATATTCAACTTTTGAAATGATAGTTGTGCACCGTGTAGTCAGGTGTTACCATGGAGAATTGGGTCTTTTCAGCTGATCAGTGCCAGATGCAGGCGTTGCAGTTTTCAGTGCATCTCATCGGTTCACAGAGCATGCTTCTCAGATGTAATGCTTTTGTTGGGGTTCAGAAAGCTCTAGTGAAGCAGACAGACCAGCAGCAGACCGCCAAACCATGACCATGACTTTTTTTTTTTTTAATTGGTATAAGTTTGGCTTTGGGAAATGCTTTGAAGCTTCTTCTTGGTCTAATTACTGAGCTGGTCATCACTGGTTGTAAAAAATCCACTTTTCATTGCACATCACAATCTGATTGAGAGATGGCTCACTGTTGTTGTGTAGAATAAAAGAAGATGACACTTCAAAACAACAATTTTTAAAAAATTTGCAGTCAGCTCTTGAGGCACCCACTGATGGAGCTTTTTCACCTTTCCAATTTGCTTCCAATGCTGAATGACCATAGAATGGTCAATGTTGAGTTCTTTGGCAACTTATTGCATAGTTGTAAGAGGATCAGGTTTGATAATGCTCTCAACTGGTCATTGTCAACTTCTAATGGCCGACCACTGTGCTCATCTTCAAGGCTCTTGTCTCCTTTGCAAAACTTTTTGAACCACCACTGCGCTATACATTTGTTAGCAGTTCCTGGGCCGAATTCATGATTGATGTTGTGAGTTGTCTCTGCTGCTTTATGACCCATTTTGAACTCAAATAAAAAAATTTGCATCAATTTGCTTTTTGTCTAACATCATTTCTACAGTATAAAATAAGTAAAAATAAGCAGCAACTAATAAGTCACTAGCAAAATACATAAAGTGAGGAATATGCATTAAAATGATGTATAACAAATCATATTTATTTCAGAATGTATTCCCAATATCAAATGGCAAAGTGCAACAATGTAAAACCACAACTACTTTCGCACTAACCTACTAAGTCATCAAACTGTTCTCTAAAGAATTATTATTGAGAAAAATTTTCAGATGTCTCACTTAGAGGTTATCTTCTATGGATACTGTACAACGCTGTAAGGAGATGAAACTGATCCAAGTGGACCATACAGTATAGTTGTCTGTGTTGCATTATTGCTCAGTCGTGTCCAACTATTTGCGACCCCATGGACTGTAGCCTGCCAGACTCCTCTGTCCAAGGACTTTTCCAGGTAAGAATATTGGAGTGGGTTACCATTTCCTTCTCCAGGGGATCTTCCCGACCCAGGGATTGAACCTGGGTCTCCCACATTGCAGGCAGATTCTTTCACCACCTGAGCTACCACAGAAACCCTACAGTATAGTTATGCATATGAATTTGGAGTCATGTGACTTGGTCACAGCTTGGTCACAGCTCTTTGATTCTCTGTTTTTCATCCATGTTCAGGGTAACTCCATACAGGGCAGTGGTTATTCCTGGCACAATAGTCTCACTGGAAGCAGACACTGAAGAAAGTGACCAGGATGGAGGGCACTTCCTCTCACCTGGCTCAGGAGACGGGAGAAGGGCAAATGCTGAGGTCCCTTCGGAGCGGGTTCTGGAACCTGGCACCTCTCCCAACACCACCTCCCTATTCTCCTTCTATATTCCAGGCAACAAGCCATAGAGTTGTCAGACAAATGTTTAAAGCCTCTGTGTATCTGCGATGTTCCTCCATCTTCCTCAGATGTCAATATCCTGCAACCCTCTCCCCACATTTTCATCCTTAAAGACCCAGCTTCAAACAGCACCTCTTCCCTGAAGCCTTTCTTGATGCCTCTAATTAGAACCAGTCACAGTCTCTTCTGAAACCAAGGGTATAAACCCCTTGATGTCTTACCACACAGTACACGTTTCTCCTCTCCACTAGATCACCAGCTCTTTAAGACCACGGTCAAGGTCTACTTTTTTTTTTCTCTCTCTCTAGAGCAACTGGAAATGCCTAACTAGCACTAGGTGATTGTTTGCGTGTGTGCTAAGTTGCTTCAGTCATGTCTCAGTCTTTGTGACCCCATGGACTGTAGCCTACCAGGCTCCTCTGTCCATGGGAGTCTCCAGGCCAGAACGCTGGAGTGGGTTGCTATGTCCCTCTTCAAGGAGGTGATTGTTTAAACAAACATAAACAGTGAATTGAGCAAATAAGTGGAACAATCATAGATCATCTAGAATGATGTTTTTCAAATATTTCAGAAATAGTATCTTCTTAGCAGATGATATTTTATAAGGATCCCCAAGTGGAAAAAACACTAAAAACAAAATCTCCAGATGAAGTAGGGGTGGGGCAACCTTTTCCACTTGGGATGGTCCTGAAGGCAATTCTGTGGAGTCTTACTGTTTGGAGAAGCCAGAGGAAAGCTAGTTTGAAAGTCACAGACAAGTGTTCAGGGCTGGTGCACTGGGAAGACCCAGAGGGATGGGATGGGGAGGAAGGTGGGAGGGGGGTTCAGGATGGGGAACACATGTAAATCCATGGCTGATTCATGTCAATGTATGGCAAAAACCACTACAATATTGTGAAGTAATTAGCCTCCAACTAATTAAAAAAAAGGAAAAAAAGAAAGAAAATCACTGAGTTAGTGGAAGAGGAGGAAACTTGGTCCACAGACGTCATGGTGTTTGCTCCATCTACACGGGGAGGTAGGGGCAGAGCCAGCCCTGAAGTCCAGGCCTCAGCTCTGGATCCAACTCTAGACCAGTCTGCACACCACTGCCAACGGGTGCATGTGGAGATGCTCACTGGTGTCAAGGTCCCAAGAGATCAGGGTGCTGGGGAGACAGCCCTCGCGGACAAGACAGATCTTAGGCAGAGATGTAGACGCGGATGTCCAGACCACCTTCTCCATTCACCTCAGTTGGGAAGGCTTTTTTCCGGCCTGGGGAAGAGCTAGTGAAGAGGCCTAAAAAAGAAAGATCGCAAACTCTGCCTCTGCTTTATTAGACGCGGATGTCCAGACCACCTTCTCCATTCACCTCAGTTGGGAAGGCTTTTTTCTGGCCTGGGGAAGAGCTAGTGAAGAGGCCTAAAAAAGAAAGATCGCAAACCCTGCCTCTGCTTTATTAGGTACCAACATCTCTAGCTTCCTAGAGTGATAAACTTTCCCCTGTTTGATGAGAAAAGCAATTAACACCAGGCTTGTAAGCAGCTGGGCTGGCTGGTGTGAGCTTGTCCTTTCTGAAGGCTGGGATGATTACCCAAAATGCACTGAGCACCTCACCCCCACCCAGCCCACTCCCCTCCCCCTTACCCACCTCACACAATCTGGTTAATGTTAATTCAGTCAGTGGTTTCCTTCCGAGGCCGTTGGTCTAAATGCAATTACATGGCAAGCAAGTTAAACAGGTGAGGCTCAGGCAAAGACTCTCTGTCCTGCTCTGAAGGTCTCCCAATATATTTAGCTAAAATTATCTCTCTGCTAATGGGAAAGATTTATTCCTTCAATTGTATTCAGCCAGTACTGAGAGATGCTTTCTCTAATGGAGGAAAATTGGATTTCTTATTTGCTGGAACTCTGTCCTTCTAGAGAATTACTAACAGATCGCATCTCCTGGTGCTGGCTCCTCTCCAGCGTCCCCGACATATGTGCCTTCTGAGTCTGTCTGGACAATAACCAGCCCTCTGGGGATGGTTTCCTTTGGGGGGCTGCCCTGGCTGCTGCCCCTCATCCTCAGGCAGGCTGGCCGCCTCTGATTTATCTCCCTTCAGGGATTTCCTGATAATTGGGCAACATTAAATCAGCACCATTTGGCCATCACGTCACCTCCACCTCGGCAAGCCCGAGCAGATGTAATTTTAGCCTGGGCTCCTGTGGATTGCCTTGGATTCTGGAGAAGATTAAGCTGACTCCCTGTACCCCAGTGGGCCACAGAGGCCTCCTGCCAAAACAGGCATTTGGCTCAGAAATTGAGTCCTGGAGAAAAACACTTCCATCCTCCTTCCATTTGACCATGACTTTCAGTTGTCAAGAAAAGCCCAGCTCAACATAAAGTCTTCCATGGAATAACGGAGGCTGGGGGAGTCTGCTCCATGGATGGTTCTTCGAAATGTATCTCCTGCCACGTGTTTTTGTCTAGGGAGATCTGAAGAGACGTGGGTGTTGGGCTCCCAAATGCTTTCTTTCTTCATCCAGGTATTTATCGGATACCACCAGTGGGTCGGTGGCGAATGTTTAATAACTGGCTTTCCAAAGAAAAGTGACTTTAATTTGCGGCATTTGCCTATTTCTGTTGTGTAAAGACTTCCACCATAGCCGATTCCATACTACCAATGAGATGCCACCACATCCAGAGTTGGGAAGAGATGGCCAACAGGACACCATGAGATAGCAGTATTTCCATCACAGAGACACAAGAGACCTAAATAAACTCTAGAACAAAGATGATGATGAAACAGTGAAATAACTAGGAAGTGGTAAGTTTTGATTATTTATTACCTTGACTTTTAATATAATTTGTGATGTTATGTAGTTTTTAAAATAATTATTGTGCTTAAGAACTAGCTTGCAGAAT